GGGGGCGACGGGGGCGACCCGGAGATTCCTCTCGGGTCCCCTCCGCAGACCTGGGCTCGGCGCCACCAAAGCAGAACGCCTGGCCGCTGGGGGGTGTTCCGATGCGTCGTCACTTTAGAAAAGAAAAAGAAAGAAAAAAGTGATGGTGGTGAAGTTGGGGAAATTGCGAGTTCGCCAGCGCGCTGGCCATTTGTTAGGCAAATAGCGCGCAGGTGGCTTTTACAAATGGTCGCGTTTCTCCAAAGCGGATGAGAACCTGCGGACCAGCTCCTGCGCCCAGGCGGAGGGCTGGAGCCGCGGCCAGAGGCTCCCCTGAGCGCGCACGGGGGTGACCTTTGCGGAGGGCACTTCCAGGGACCAGGCAGCTTGGAAGACCTGCCTCAGCGACACCCTGAGTCGCAAACAGGGCGGTGGAGTGTGATTTCCATTCGCATCCATTTTCCACCTGGGTCAGCAGCCTCTCCATTGAGCAAATATTTGTTGTGCGTCTGTTGGGGGGGTGGGGGGGGGGAGGACCTCTGAGCCAGCAGGGCAGGTGTGCGCAGGTGTTGACACAAGGGAGGGTCAGGACGCTCCTTCCGGGCAGGTGGAGGTTTAGAGAGACCTAGGAAGGGTTCATTGAGCGTTTGCTTGTTCGCTGTCTCAAGAATGGACAGTCAGAAGCATTGAAAGGCACAGCTAAGAAGGTCATCGGCCTGGCCTGGCATTTAAAGTGACAAGGAGGACCAAAACCACCCTTAAATAAGGTTTTAAGCATCAACCCTTTGTCCAGGGCCTGCACTAGGCCTTTATCTCCTGGCATAAAGTATGCAAGGCAGATATTATTACGCCCCCTGTACGGAAGGGAAACTGAGGCAGGGAAGAAGCTGGCATTTGGTTCCAGGTAACTGGTAGACCTGGGAATTCATTGTGGATATTTCCGACTGCGGAACCCATGCGTTTTCTCTCTTCCATGCCGCTGTGAGCTGGCGCATCTGGACGATTGCACGGCAATGAGAATTTAAATTCACATTCATCAACAGTCGACATGCTGGGAGTTAAAGTAACTTCATGAATAAAACGAGCACTGTTTCCATTCTACTCATGAGGTTAAAACCATGAGCAGTCTGGGGCGAGAAGAAGAGCTATTTTTAATAATAAGATTTATTCTGTGTCTTCCTTAACATATTTTTAAGGCCCTAATATATCTTTGTGGATCATGCATTGAAGTCACAGCGAATTTTCATATTATTCATGTGCTTTATCTAATTCAGCTTGATTTATATAATATATATACATTTGTAATTTGTAGATACTATATAAAAATCAGCTTGATTTTACATCATATATATTTATATATATTACAATTTATGTAAACTTATTTAAGTTATAAGTGTATATAAATTACATTTATATACACTTATGTAAGTTGTAAGTTTATATAAATTATATAAATCAGCTTGACTTTACATAATTCAGCGTGATTTCTTCCATAGCTTCCAGGTGAATAGAGAACAGATAGCTTCTAGGTGAATAAAGAACAGTGTCACCTAGAAAGGACGTTGTGTTTATGTAAAAATCTATAATCAGATATCGATAACTATCGCTAATATTTATATGAAAAGATGGTCTTTCTGCTGTTCGTTCTAATTAGCATATTAGCTCTTTATTATATAGGATTCGCAGCAGGAGTTGAAGAGAGTGGTTTTTGTTGACGCAAGTTTTTATGCCTGTGTTGGGAGGATCAGACAGGCTGTTCTGCCTGGGTCTCGCTTTTGACCGTGACCTTGATAACACACCTTGAACTCCTGTTTAGGAGCATTTGAAATCCTGCTTGGAAGGTGTTTATAAAGGTGTGGTTGGGCCCTTGCTGGTTTGGCTCGACGGATACAGCATCGGCCTTCAGAGTGAAGGGTCCTGGGTTCGATTCCGGTTGGGGCACACGCCTGGGTTGTGGGCTTGATCCCAGTGGGAGGATGTGCAGGAGGCAGCCGGTCAATGATTCTCTCTCATCGTTGATGTTTCTCTCTCTCTCCCTCTCCCTTCCTCTCTGAAATCAATTAAAAAATATATATAGAGAAAAAAAAAGGTGTGGGTGGCTTGGTTTGCCTTGGGGTGAGAAGCTCAGGTGACCGTGTCTTCTACTTCAGTTGACAAATGTTTAGACAAACATTAAGATGCTGTCATTGGAGCACAGGGTGGGTGACAAATGCAAACCCCAACATGCCACAGAGGAGTATGAACAAGGCTGGTCCCAGATTTTGTGAGCCCTAAAGAGTAGACACCTGAAACTAACACAAAATAACCTTGAATGGAAGGTGTAATTGAAGAAAAAAAACTTTTTTTAAGGTAAACACATTTGCAATCCTCTCTTAAGAAAAACACTGCAGAATGAGTGATGACCAGGAATCCTTCTTTAGGAAGAGAAAGAGAGATGACAGTTCGCCGAAATCTTTGTGGGCGATTTACCAGAAATGCTTACCAACAAGGGCTTCCTGATTGCAGCTGGCTTCCCCTGCCCCCAAGGCACTGGGCGGGCCACAGCCTGTGCTGGGAGAAGTGGAAGCCACGCTCCATCCCCTTCCCAGAGTGACAGGTTCCTGGAGGCAAAGGACTCAGGGCCCAGGGCCCATGGAGGAGACTGCTTGCTGGGGCGGAGGGACCAGGGGTCCTGGGCTCATGGGGGCTGGGTCACTTCCTGTCCAGCTAACAGTCTGAGATGGAGGCCCCTGGGCTGGTCTCCAGGGGGTTGGTTCCCCAGGGATGCCTTGGGCTCTCAGATCTCATCCTTTCCGGCACCATTTGTGGAGGGTTCTCTGTGTCCTGGGCACTGAGTCAGGCCAGTCCGATTGCCAGGGGGCTCCTGGTCTCACGGAGCTGGTTTCTTATTTTATTTTATTTATTTATTTTATTATTTTATTTTATTTCATTTTTATTGATTTTATAGAGGAAAGGAGAGGGAGAGAGAGAGAAACATCCGTGATGAGAGAGAATCATGGGTCGACTGCCTCCTGCACTTCCCCGACTGGGGATGGAGCCTGCAACCCAGGCATGTGCCCTGACCTCCAGGTTCATAGCTCCAGGCTCAACCACTGAGCCATGCCAGCCGGGCTCATGGAGCTGGTTTCCCTGAGCACCATCCAGTGTGTGGAGGGCCCCCGGTGTGTGGAGGGCCCCCGGGTGTGTGGAGGGCCCCTAGGTGTGAGAAGGGCCCTAGACATTGGGGCCACCCCCACCCCCTCCACGGATGCACTGAGGCCCTTAGTGTTTCTCAATGTGCCTTACAAACCCTCAGCACCCACACACCCGAGGTCACCGGGTTAGAAATGTATGTCACAGCCCCACCCCAGCCCCATATGGGAAGCTCCCCGTGGGAAACAGGGCTGCCTGAGTTCTATGAGAGGCCTTCCTTCCAGATGATTCTGGAGCTAGCGAATGGGAACGCCCCTAGCGTTTAAGAGAACTGGGAGGGCATGCACTCCTCCCCCTCCTCCCTCCACTCCCCCCCTCCCCTTGGAGAGGGAAAGGGAGGGAAGAAGATGAATACAGGGCTAATGTGTCATTTACATTCCTGTCGCTCACATTTACTGGGCTTGGCTGGGCAGTGTGCTGAGGATTATTAACTCTTTTAATCATTAACACAGTCCTACCCGGCAGGGCTCTGATCACCTCCATTTCAGCCTGAGGAAACTGAGGCACAGAGACGGGAGGGGCGTGTCCCAGGTGCCATGGCTGTAAGGACCCCGGGGCAGGCAGGCGCCCGGCCCCCCCCCCCCGGGGGGGGGGGGCGCAGCTTGCAGGAGGTCCCCGTCCTGTGTTGGTATTTCGGGGAGGTCTGGAAGGCAGGCCTGAGGCTGATGGGAAAGGCCCTACTGAGCTGGCATAGTCCCTCGCTCACCTCTTGGGGTTCACGTTTTTGTTTTTTAAATATATTTTATTGATTTTTTACAGAGAGGAAGGGAGAGGGATAGAGAGCTAGAAACATCGATGAGAGAGAAACATCAACCAGCCGCCTCCTGCACACCCCCCCACTGGGGATGTGCCCGCAACCAAGGTATAGGGTGTCCCAAAATTCACGCAAGAAGTAATTTTGATAGAAAACACAGCTTTATAATTAAAAATTGTACATTTTTTATTGATTCATAAAGTATACAGTATAGGGTTATGGATGGAATAGCACATTGGGTAAATGGCCTCCACGGCTTTGCTGGCACAGACGCAAAGCCGTGGTCTTCATTGGTCTTCATTGTCCCTGCTCCTGGGCCATAATTGGTACTTGGTAATGCTTATCAAATTGAAGGGATTGAAATCAAAGGGCAACAGATATTAGAATCTGATTCAATAAACCAAGTAAAATTAGGCTTTTATTTTTTGTTGTTGCTAATGCTCACGCAAAATTCAAATCTTGCGTGAATTTTGGGACACCCTATACATGCCCTTGACCAAAATCGAACCTGGGACCTTTCCGTCTGCAGGCCGATGCTCTATCCACTGAGCCAAACCGGTTAGGGCCACACGTTTTTCTTTAGGGACGAGCTGCCAGAATCTTGGAGGGGAAGGGTGTTATGTCATTTCCTCCTCCTGCAAATGTTTAAAGTTTCACAAGCGAGCGGACACGATTGCGTACAGCTGGTTGCACAACAGCGCGTTGCCTCTCTCCCTGGGTGACTTCGGGCTCTCGGGTTTCCCCAGTGGGTGGCAATGGACATGGCCTTGTTTCAGAACGCTGGCGTTTCACCCTAAAGGCCAACTCCCTGCCCAGGGCACAGGGAACTTGAAGGTGAAGGTGTGTGTGTTTTTAAGATATTTTTAAACATTTTTTATTGTTATTGATTTCAGAGAGGAAGGGAGAGGGAAAGAGAGGGAAACATCGATGATGAGAGAGAATCATGGATCGGCTGCCTCCTGTATGCCCCCCACTGGAGATCGAGCCCACAACCGGGCATGTGCCCTTGACCAGAATCAAACCCGGGACCCTTCAGTCCACAGGCCGGCGCTTTATCCACTGAGCCACACCAGCCAGGACGGTGATGGTGTGTTTTGAAAGAACCTAGGAAAACTGTGTCTTGCATTGTCAGGAATTATTTTTTGTTTTTGTTTTTTTCTGAAAGAAATAATTATCACCCCCAAGTCTGTACATTTATCACAGAGTAGCCCCATCCTGTCAGGCAGCCTGAGTAAGAGGATACAGCTGTGGCTACGAGCATATATGTGAGTGTGTAGAGCAGTGATGGCGAACCTATGACACGCGTGTCAGAGGTGACACACGAACTCATTTTTTTGGTTGATTTTTCTTTGTTAAATCGCATTTAAATATATAAATATCAAAAATATAAATCTTTGTTTTACTATGGTTGCAAATATCAAAAAATTTCTATATGTGACACGGCACCAGAGTTAAGTTAGGGTTTTTCAAAATGCTGACACGCCGAGCTCAAAGGTTCGCCATCACTGGTGTAGAGAGATGGCTTGCCTTTGGGTGAGAAGCTCAGGTGATCGTGTCTTCTACTTCATTTGACAAATGTTTAGACAAACATTAATCTGCGCTTATGGCCGGAGGCAGAGCTTAATTCTGAGAGTACCAGCTGTCTCGTCCGTGCAGTCGTTCATTCATGGGGTCATTTGTTGCTGGCCTCGCTGTGCTGAGTGTAATTATTAGGCAACGGAGCAAACACAGTGGTAACCAGAGAGACTTGATCCCTTGACAGGGAATTGCTTGTTGGGCAATGATTTGGGTGACTGGGTTTGATGCCCTGATTCTGGCCGTGTGGCGGCGGGAGAGGATTTCAGAAGTTACCATAGCCCAGCCGCGGTGGCTCAGTGGTTGAGCTAAGGTGGGAAGGTTGACTTCCGCTCATTCTTTGGAGGGTGGAGAGGAATCGCCACTCCCTTTGGCCTTTCATGCCTTTGATTGCCCAGCTGGGGTGTGGGAGGCAGCCCTCAACTTGCAGAAGCAAACACCACAGGCCTGGGCAGGGCCGTGGCTAGGGGCTTGTTGAAAGCTGGTTTTCAGAATTATTAACATTTTTTATTTATTGATTGATTTTAGAGAGAGAGAGAGGGAGACTTGTTCCACTTATGGATTCGTTCATTGGTTGCTTTTTTTTAAATTTCTTTTTTTATTGTTTAAAGTATTACATATGTCTCCTTTGTTCCCCCATCGACCCCTCCCCGGCCACTCCCACCCCCCAGGATAAACCCCCACCGCCCCAATGTCTGTGTCCATTGGTTATGCTAATATGCATACATACAAGTCCTTTGGTTGATCTCTCATTGGTTGCTTCTTGTATGTACGTGCCCTGACTGGGGATTGAACCCACAACCTCATTGCATGGGGACGGCGTTCTAACCAATTGAGCTACCTGGACAGGGCCTGGTTTTCAGAATCTGAGCCCATATCATTGTCACAAGGTCAAATGCTTGCTATCCAACCTCTTCATTTTAAAAAAAATATATTTTATTGATTTTTTACAGAAAGGAAGGGAGAAGAATAGAGAGCTAGAAACATCGATGAGAGAGAAACATCCAGCTGCCTCCTGCACCCTCCCTACTGGGGATATGCCCGCAACCAAGGTACATGCCCTTGACCAGAATCGAACCTGGGACCCTTCAGTCCGCAGGCCGGCGCTCTATCCACTGAGCCAAACCGGTTAGGGTGAACCTCTTCATTTTTGTATTTTATTAGAAACACTCACTTATCATTTATGTTCATCGTAAATTAACCCTATTCTTCTATATATAATTGATGGGTGGTTGTTTTGGAGGAACTGAAAGTTTAGGATAGCCTGTTTCAACTTTGTCTATTGAAAGGCAACTGATAAACAGGAGTATTCACGAGAATATTCATCTGCAAACTGATCAGGAAAATTAAAAAGAAAAGATTCAACCTATTTGTGTGGTCGTGACCATGTTCAGGTCTGAGTGGCAACCGAGGTGACGATGCATAAAACAGAAAAGCAAACAAAAAACCCCAAACCAAACCAGAAACAAACAAAAATAATTCTTGTGTAATTCTTCTTCTTTTTTTGGTGGTGGTTGGGGAACTATTTTTAGCATTATGAAAGATGTGGGGTTGAGTCTGCGGACTTAGGTAACAGATCAGAAAAGAACACCATTACTTGAATGACAACAACCAACAATATTGTTATACTAGAGGCCCGGTGCACGAAATTTGGGCATGGGTAGGGTCCCTAGGCCTGGCTGGCGATCAGAGCTGATCTGGGACTTCCGACTGCCAGCCGGGGCCTTCCTTTGTTCCGTGCTGCCCCCGTGGTCAGCGCACGTCTTAGCAAGCGATAGAACTCTCGGTCTCCCAGTCGAACTCCTGCGGGGACACTTTGCATATTAGCCTTTTCTATAGATAGAAGTGTTGTGCCCAATGTAAAATATTTTATATCTACAAAATTCACCCTAGCCAGTTTGGCTCAGTGGATCGAGCATCAGACCGCAGACTGAAGGGTCCCGGGTTTGATTCCGGTCAAGGGCACATACGTTGGTTGCAGGCTCGATCCTGGGTTCATGTGGGAGGCAAGCAATTGATGTGTCTCTCTCACATCGATGTTTCTCTGTTTCTCTCTTACTCCCCCCACCCCCGCCACCCTCCCACTCTCTCTAAAAATCAATGGAAATATATCCTCGGGTGCAGATTAAAAAAAAATTAGCTTTGTAGTGTGAAAATGATTTTTGGGGTCAACTCTTCAACCTTCTGATGGAACCAGTTAGAGCCCAGAGGCGCCGAAGGCCTGCTTACCCTCCCACGTGGTCCGTTGGTGACACAGTCTGTCCAGTCAAATGTGTCTGCACGTCCTGGCCTACAGGGCCATGTTTTTCTGGAATCTTCTTGTCTGTTGCTGGAACATAGACGTCTCTCCATCTCTGGAGCCTTTACCCCCTCCCGGCTGCCTACACGCTCCTCCTTCCCTTTCCCTGCTGTGTGTGTGCACTTTCTCCGACATAGTTTCGTGTATTGAACTTTGCGGGAGTTTTCAGTGGCAGCTGCCTGCGGCCATTTAGGCTTGTCTAAACAGGTAGGCTTCCTGTGACATTTCCTTCATTCTCTTAAATCTCCCGAGCTGGCGGGGACACTTGCAGGGTGAGCCAGGAATAAGAGACGGTCCCTGTGCTAACATTGAACCAGGAAGCATGGCAGAACAGAGCCGGTCCATGATGAATTCTTTGGGGTTTTTTTTTGATAATTCAGCCACACATCTTGATTGTTTGCTTTTCCCAGCTTCTCATTTAAACCTTTGCACAATGTTATGAGCGAAATGTCCCTTCATTTTTCTGAATCTTCGGGCACAAAAGCTATTTTTTAAAAAAAATTTAAATTCTTTATTGATTAAAATGTTACATG